TTGTCTTAGAAGTTCGATTGTTTCAGCTTTATAGTTAAAAAAAAGGAACAGGTTTTGAAAATTCAAAATTTTCAATTTTTGACCTTGACCTTTTTTGACCCTGATTTTTGTAGGATCAAAGGTCATTCACATTGGCTATCTATTTATACTTTTATATTTGCTGTCCTATCTCAACTTCCGGTTTTATAGCCGTATATAATTAAAAATTTGGATGACTTGTATCTCGTAACCTTGACCTTTGTTGACCGTCTCCCTTTCAATGTCAAATGTCATTGACCTTGGCTATCTTCTGATACTTTCATTTGTGAGGGCTGTTTACTTCCGTTATAACAATCTTACAAACAATTCTTCTCAACTTTAGACTGCTCTTGCGCGTGATGTAATTATCGTAGAAGGTTGATTTTTTCAGAGTCTTTAGCATTTTGCTACATTTGCAAAGTCCCACTCTGTGCCACGTGTGGCTCTAGTTTTTGTTATTTTTTTAAAAAATAATTAATATAATAATAATAAGTATACTGATTATTTATTATAGATACTCCAAAACCACCAATATTAGCTAGTGTTATACCAGTATCAATATCATCTATTAGTTTATCTTGGTTAGATGTTATACAACCTGATTATACCAATATATCATATTATAGAATATATTATAAACAACGGTTTGTATATTTCTATATTTCTATATTCTATGTTTCAATATAGTTTGTTTTCTGTATTAGAATTAAATTCGATATATAGTAGTATGCAAATCTGTAAGTTGATATAATAACTCTTTTTGAAAAGAGTACATAACATTGAGTTATATAGCTCATTTACACTGTGTAGTTTTGACTGTCTTAAATTTGTACTGTTATATCTGGTGAGAATTCTCGTACTGCTTTAGGTGAATAAGTAAATAAGAACACTTTTATTGATATACTACTCATTCCCAAAATTTAACCACTTTTCAATTCAAAAACAAGAATCCTTATCTTGCTTAAAGGAAGGAATAGTATATTTTATTTTTGTAATATTTTTTTCTAAAGATTATTATTTCTACTATTAGATTGGTTTTGATGGAAGAATTTTATTTATAGATTAGAAGAGAATTTTAACTTGTTAACAGATAAACTAGATACGAAACTAAGTGACTATGAAGTTACTAATCTATTAGCTGGTACAGAGTATATATTTACTATGGCTAGTCAGAATGATGTAGGTATTGGACCTAGAAGTAATGCTATATCAGCTATAACATTTGAATCTGGTATGTTGGTTTTTTATTTATAAGATTAGATATGATTATTACATCCATAAGCCCTATTAAAAATTAAAACATGATTCCCTTCATAGGATTGTTCAAAGCGAGAGATTTTAAATTGGTTTTACTGAGACTTCAAGAAAGATCCCTGTATATTTTTTTGCCCTGGAAATATTCTTGATTAATGAGGCAAATCTGCTGATTTATTTTGGTTACTTTTGGAGAGTATTACTATTACTCTGTTAAATAATCACATGCAAATAGTGAATTTGTTAAAAACATATTGTTCAAATCCATTTTGAAATTTTTGGGGGTGATATTGTTTGTAATTTTTGAGATTTTACAAACACTATTTCAGGTCCAACTGAACCCAAGTCTTT